AACAAGTGATGCACAGTATAATTACTCACCAGCTGGCGACAAATGCCCATCCCGGCCAGCAATTCTGAAACAGATAAGTCCTGACATCACAATCCTGGATGAGTGAGAGGCCCCAAAAGAAAGCGAGAGAGAGAGATAGCACTCCGAGAGTCTGAGTCCCACAGGAGAGAAATGAGACAAACTTCCCAGTCAGTCCTCATCTGTATACTAGGCATGACATTGCATGATATGGAATACTCCATTCACCACTTCAGCCCTCAATCCTAGATCTAAGTTCAAATCATAAGCTAGAAGTTGTGGGCTCTGTCCTGCCCATGCTCCCCCCCGGCCTGTTGTGCTCCTGCACACTGGCAAAAACATGGGAAGCTGAAAGGTCCTTGGTGTTGTGGTACCAGCTATTAACATCACTGCGCTATCAGCATTCTTCTTGTAACAAATCCCAGACTAAATCCAAAGCACAGAGCTCTTCTAGCTGCTAAAACGAAAAGCTAACTCTGTCCCAGTCAGAAACAGGACAGGAATAAAAGAGGAATAATCAGTGACTTTCAGTGCGGGTTTAGAATTGTCATGTAAACACAGTTTACAAGATTGTATTATCAAATTACTTCTTGGCATCTTAGCGTGCAACGTAAGGAATCAGTATGAAATCTCTAATACTTTAGTTATCAAGAGTAAGTCAGTAGGTGTCCATTTCTGATACAAAATAAAACTACACACATTTCCCAAAAAATACATGTCAGCAAGCCCTTTTCTGTTTGCATTTATTCATCTCTTCTAAACAAGCTTTCTAACTGATGAAGAAGCCTGCTGGGAAAGGGCAGTGATTTTTGCATATGTATGTAGCATACTTGATTCTCCAAACAGATCTTTTTTTCTACATATTTTTCCATTTTAAGTAACATTTTCTACATTGTATTCTCATAAAGAAAGACCGTACCTGAACTCTGTTGAAATGCTCAGGTTTGCATTCCGCGAGCCGTTCCAGCTGTGGTAGTAGGGAGCTCTGAGTAGGCTAATTTTCAGCCCTGTGATATTCCAGCCAAAATGCTTCTGGTGTCCAGCAGACTTGTAAATCAGGTTTGGGTATTTCTCTAGTGTTCTGCAGAGTAGCCAGACTAGTAGCCTCCTTTCCCAAGAAGCAGACCAGATGTGCACGCTCTGACAAATCCAGGTGTTTGTAAGCTTCCCAGGTCATTAGGAGCTGGCTGTGGTTAGTTTGTGCTTAAGAGACTGGCAGCGCACATCACCCAAATCTGCTTTCATACGCCAAATATGAATGTGAGATGTCACCGGGTTCTGTCAGAGAGGCCCAGTGCAAGGAGAAGCAACAACAAGGTTGTAAAAGAAAACTGACACTTGTTGCATTTGCCACATTCATTGCCACAAAATCCATATTGATCACGTTCACTCCCTGCTTAAGTGAATCACAAAATCTAAAGCTCTTTCCTGAACTTTTGAAATAAAAGTCTGGTTTCCATACGCAGGATCATGGTGAGGAATTCCTGTTGTTCCTAGGGATTTTCTATCTTCTTGCAGCAGATAAAGTGATTTTGGCTGTTTTAAACTTTTCTAGATAGGGCAATAGTCTTCCCAAATTAACTGATGCTCTGTTAACATAGGCTCTTCCTTTAGCATTCCAGTACTCTGATACTCGAGGGGCCTTTTTGGTTTTGTTTTCTTTTCCTCAGAAAAAGGCAAATGCATATCTTCCTGTTTCACAGGGAAGTGTCTGTTCATGTCTGGTCTAAGTAATGAACAGCTGAACCATATGGATGACCACACCTTGCCACATAAATATGGGATTGGATTTACAAACATGGTTGAAAGGACAACACCTGGAAGCAAAGACCTCTCCAGGTAGGGTAACAAGGGGGGATATCGTGCTTGTCAATGAATTAATAGTTGCGATTGTAATTTTGAGTGCTTTCTCTTTTAGCAAAGAGTTTCGGGAAGGAGGGCGAATTCTGATGCAGAAGTTACAAAAGTATAAACCTCGTATAGCAGCTTTCAATGGAAAATGTGAGAACCTTGACTTTTAAATGAATTTGTTCTGTCAGTAGCTTTTTCTTTGTCCACTTACCCTATCTTCTTTTCGGTTTAGGTATTTATGAAATTTTTAGTAAAGAAGTTTTCGGAATAAAAGTTAAGAACTTGGAATTTGGACTGCAGCCACACAAGGTGCCAGACACAGAAACTGTAAGTATTGATACTGAGAAACAAAACCACGGCACTCTGTTTTGGTTATTTCTAAACTAACAGTCTCAGGACTTGCACACACTTAACAACAACATCAACGTTTGCCCAAAGTGCAAGAGATGTGAAGGGCTTTTACTTAACTAGAGAAAGCGGCATAAGTGCAATTTTCAGACACATCTTTAATGCAGCTTCTTCAGACTTGCAGACCTGATTTGGGAAATGGGGTATTCTGGTTAGTAGGTTAGTACGTTTTCTGAGGACTATCTAAAATACGAGTAAAACATACATGCTTTTTTGATAACTGCCATTTACTTTCATCTGATTCCCTGTACCCAATTCCCTGTATGTTTGTATTACTGAAATTTTATACTGAACATGACCGTGGTGCTAGTAGTGCCGCAGTCGGGGAGAAGGAATAGTGAGCCCATCGTTGTGCTGTTATACACTGCAGCTACGGCATAGCTGGATCTGGGAATGCCCAAGCACTTCCGTCAGATTCAGTCTTCTTAAGCTGATTCGCAGCTTGAAATTGAATTGGACACTTAAGTTAAAACAAACAGTTTGATGAAGAGTGTGTTAGTCATAGACATCTAGTGCTGGAAGGTATCTCAGGAGACCCGCAAACAGGTTTGTTTAACCTGTTCTTATAAAGAGGTTAAGGCAAAGGCTGCCAGCACTGCCCACCAAGGTAGCTTATTCGAAAGCGTCGTTACCCTGTTGGTTCAAAAGTTGGGATTGTTTTTATTTCTATCCCAAATTATGGTGCTGCAAGTTTAAGCTCAGTTGAAGCTGTTCTTCTCTAAAGGTGAAGTGTTGCCATCAGAGCCTGAAGAACTGTTGGTGATAAAGTGCTTGCTTCTTAAGTAGCTCTTGAAGACTCTGCAGAAGATGTGTTTGTAAGAAAGATAAACAATCCTCTTCTATAGTACTTGTTCATAAGTACTGCATGGTAACAAAGGTATTAGATACAGTCCCTTTTTCCTGAACTAATTTTATGTCTTTAGTTAGGGCTGTTGGCAGAGATAGAGACGCTTAAGTTGACTTCAGCCACACTAACTCCAGAGTTTCAAGCCCTAGCAAGTGTGGTGCAGATGCCCTTGGCCAGGAAGCCAGGCTGAGTAACCCGTGGTGCCTCTCTCACTCACTGGTTTGGGGTGTTTGCCCTCTGGGGGCTTTCTGGCTCAGAGCTCTGCTTGCTCAGGGACCTCTGGAGTGCGCTCCCCTCTCTGGTATACACTTGTAAATTGTACTTCTTGTAACGTACTGGTGCTGCTTCTCCTGCAGCACGTAAACAACTCATGAAAATTGTCCTCACTTCAGCAGCTGATAATCAGCCCCTCTCTTTAGGGCAAGACATCTAGCTGGCCAAGAAAAATGGCCTCTCCCACAACCACCCGCAGCATTAGTTGAAGTTTGTGCAAAGGGTTAAAACAATGAGCTTGACTGTAGAGTTATTCTCCGTGCACTGAATATTAACTCCTAGTTCAGAGACCAGTAATGCTATTTTTCTTGCTCTTCGCCTCCAGCTCTGCTACGTTATGCCATCATCCAGCGCAAGATGTGCTCAGTTTCCCCGTGCGCAAGATAAAGTTCATTATTACATAAAGCTGAAGGACTTAAGGGATCAACTGAAAGGCATCGCACCAAACACAGAGGTGCAGGAGGTGCAGTACACGTTTGACTTGCAACTTGCACAAGGTACAGTGCTTGTTTTGTTGCTCCTTTACTAAAAGGTAGTGTAACATACAACACAACTAGCAGTTCTCCAAGCAAAAAGAAGTCAAGGATTTATGGGGAGGGAAGAGATAATGCCATCTTGTCTGAATCATGTGGCGTAGAATTACAGATTCTACTGGTTTTAGTATGGCCTTTATTGTCTTGTAAAACGTGGCTGTTTTTTCAAGTGTTCTCTGATAAAAGAGCTCTTTGGTCATTTTTGTTCTGAATATTAATACTTGAGGTCTTCTCTTTTGGCAGAGGATGCTAAAAAGATGGCTGTCAAAGAAGAAAAGTACGATCCAGGTTATGAAGCAGCGTACGGCGGAGCTTACTGTGATCGTGCACCGTATGGAAGTGAACAGTGCGATTTCTCCTCAAACGGAAGTGGTAAGTGCGGTGCTTGGAGCATTCAGTCTGTAAACCATTACTTGGGAACAAGCACTTAACTTTCTACCCTTGCAGCAACTTGCACAATTCATACAATATATTTGAAGTATAGCAGCAGTTAGACTCGTACATAATTGAGGGAATGTGTAGTTTTTCTGAGAGAGAAATAAAGAAAAGTCATTCGCTTAGTTTAAAATCATCTGCAACTTCAGACTGTTTCCCCAAACTCTGACTGATTCCCAAAATCTTGACAGATGCAACTAGTGACTTACACAGTAAACCTCTTCAACAATGACTTATATAACTGCATCATGCTTTTCAGAGCAGAAGCAAGGGTTGGTACTTCTTTTTTTTTTTTTTCATTCCTAAGGAAAGCAAAGCCAGAGAATGGTAGAACAGATCAAATAACAAGAGACATTGCAATGGTTCCATTGCTGGAGGGCCAGATGAAGGAGCAGTAGTGGAAGGATGAGTCTAGTGATCTAGCTTTAATTAAGAAGCTGGGAATTTTACTTCCCAAAATACCACCAACTGTAACTCAAAAATAAACAATGAAAAACAATGGCAGAAGCAGTAATTTAGAGTAACCACTTTCCTCTGAAGCCTTGAATTTTCAGTCCTAATCTCACTTATGTTGGGAATTGAAATTTGCATTGCCTACCCTACTTTGTCAAAGAGAATGTCCTTTTGAGAAGAAAAAAATGTATTAATAGGAAACACTGCAAAGTGAGTTATTCTTTTAAACATTTAGACTCTAAATTTATATATATGCAGTCACCCTTCAAAGAAGATTTGAAGAAATTACAATTTGAGGAAATGATCTGGGTCTACAGAAGTAGATGCTCAAAAGAAATAAGTTTGAACTGCAGCCTGAGTAAGTGGTTGAAAAGTAGAGAGGAAAGATGGAAATGGCAAATATATTTTATTTTTTTAGAGATTGTTTTGGGGAGGTTGGGGTTTGTTTTGTGGTTTTAGGGAGTTTTTGCTAGTGGCATCATCTGTATTTTAATCGTTTAGTTTTAGTTAGTGGTATCAACTGCATTTTTTAAACTGTATCTTATTATTTGTTTGTTTTAGCAGCAAGCAATCCACAGTACTGTGAGGGGTCGTCCTTTGGTGAGGTTCCTAATGGACAATGGATGACACAGTCCTTTGCAGACCAGATTCCAGAGTTCAGTGCTGGTGTGACACAGGAAGAAGAGGGAAGCAGTGCTTAAGAGCCTTTTCAGCTCAGCTATGCATACATGCTGCAGTTTTAATGCAGTGATCAAGATTGGTACCTCGGTTCTCCAACTGAAGCATTTTAATAGTATTTTATCTCCATTAGTTATTTTATTATAGTCCAAAGTAAGTGTGTGGTAGGCTCAAATCAATGAAATAGATAATTTTAAGGAACTGTCCGAACTTTTTAAAAAAAAGTTAGCCCTTTTTTGTATATGAGTTTTATATTTAATGTATACCATTTCTTGCAGTTTTTGACAAATTGCTTTCTCCTTTGTGAAGAATTCTTTGGGGCGTTAATTTTATTCCATAGATCATAATGTAGTAGTAACAGCAGCAGTATACGTTTTACTGATGCCTCACTATTTGGGTATCTCACCATCCTTTTGTATCCCGAGGGGAAAATGGGAAGTGTACCCTTATCTTACATGAAGTGGTGTTTTTAATCATGCACAGTTAAGCAAATTATGCTTTTTAATTCTGCCTTTTTCCTTCTTAAAAAGTGCAGAAAGTTGCGTTCTGCAGCTGTGAGTACTGAATATTTTCTGGGTGGGAAGAGAGCTCTGTCTATTTAGTGATTGGACCATATTCAGGATTAAGGGAGTGGAGACATCATCTCGAGTCACAACACTGGGGAAGAAAACCTGTGTTGCACAGGACAAGGCCTAAATATCCTAGCTGAGCTGTCTTCAGGTAAGGTGTCCCTACACCACTCCATCTCTTCCCCCCTTAAATTCCAATGTAAGGAACTGGAATTCCTTTAAAAAAGGAAGAAAAAAAACAAACACAACCAACAGTGGTGGTTCTTGAATTCTGTGGCATTTAAACTCTGTCATTTCTATGTGATTAGTCTTTTCACCTAACCTTTAGCAGGAGACAGTCTCTTTGAACAGATTACAGGGCACTGAAAGACAACGTTTGCTGTAAAAACCACGTACAGCTACATTGTTTACGTCACGTACAGTTGGCACAGGGTGGAAGAGGTTTGTGATTTTAGCAGTTTTTAACATTCGGTTCTCTTAAGACCTTAGAGGGTGTTCTCCTATTCCTCTTACAAGTGAAAAACACTCAGTAAAATGTAAGAGCAGCTGTTCCATGAATAAGAAGTCAGCTGTAGAAACTACAGCTCTCTTCTGAGAAACTTGAACGATACACACATTTTTGGCCATTATTAGTGACTGAGAAATAAAGGAGATTCCATGCTTGTGCCTAACCATCATCTTCTTTCCCTCTTTTACCCTGTGAGGAAGAGATGAAGTAAAAGCAATAAGCTGATCAAAACACTAAAGTTTTGATGATCTTATGACAGTAGGTGCTTCACATACTTGAAAAATAGATACAAACAGTATCTCCGCAATCCACGCGGGTCAGAGGTTCCTGTACCAGCGTGTTTTATCCTTTCCTCACAGCCAGTGACAGTTGTCATGCATTGAGTGTAACTAGTTAGTGTGGATTCCAGTCCTGCCATAACAGCTTTCACTGAGATCACACACTGTCAGCCTGTTGTGAGGCAGGCATGATGTTTACAGTTTCTTCCCAAATTATGTGGCTTAATTTTGAGCGTCTTAAATCAAGAAAGTGTGCATTATGATTCTGATTGTGTTTATTAGCTTCAGCATAAAGCTGTTCAGTATATTGTCAAAAAGGTAGGGGACTTGTCTTGTCTGTTATTTAAAGTGTACTGTATCATGTATTGCTGTTTACATGGATGTTTTCCTGCAGGTGCTCAAAGTATCTTGCATCAGGGATTTGTTACAATTCAATTTTATTTTTCAACAAAACTAGAAGCATGTAATTAGCACTGCGGAGTATGTAGCACAGGAGGATGTAACTACTGTAAGGCTATCCTGTTTGATTGGAAGGGGAAGGTCTCTTCTTTAACAGAGTCACCTACTAGGTTATCTAGGTATGAAATACCATGAAGTGTACAATGACCGTTTCACTAAATATTGCAATTCTGTGTATACTCCCTCAGAACTGGTGCTCTTTTCATTACAATAATACAAAAGTTCTTACTCTGTCTTAAATCTATAAATGTTTCACAATAAAATCAGGAATTGTATTACAGTGTCTTAGAGTGTGCTTTTGCATCTTGCTAGCAGGGGTCTAAATACGCTACAGGACATGTAACACACAGAAACACTGCACAACAGTCACCATGCAACAGAACTCTACTCATTAAAACGCTGCGTAAGTTTTCATTTCCAGCTGTTTAATGGGGGCTAGACAACTAAAGACACCTTGTATGTAATACTGCAAGTATTTCCTGTGTAGATTCTTCTACCAGCAGACATTGGAGTCTTATTTATAGAGACCTTAAATTAAAACACACTGTCTAGCACTGATAAATGTTTAATGGAAATACTTCATTGTCAAGTAAACTTGTTTCCTCACCTTACATGAAAGTCAAGATAATCTGAATTGTGTTAACTCTCACTCCAGCCTCCTTCTCCAGCCATAAGCACACAAAACTGATGGTCATTTATTCGTATATTTAACAAATACTCAGTTGTCTAAAATCAGTTAATTATCCAGCATGTTGCATCTCAAACTATTACATACTGTGAAACGTAGTGTAGGGATGCCTTTAAATGTTTTCAGTATCAGCTATCAGGACGAGTTAATTTGAATTTCCCTGAAGGGTCAGGAATAAACCAGTTTTCCCAGAGATCAGTGTGAACACTGGGATAGTCCCAAGGCTTGTATCTCCCATTCCAATGAAGTAATTTAGCTTCCTGAAGAAAATGCTCTGAGTAACGGGTATCAGGACTCCAACCTGCATGGGTAGATTTAAAAAAACAAACAAACCCGTTTTTAATAACAGAAGACACTATATAGTGAGGTAAATTCAGTTACTCTTTTAAGAAGTCTGATTAGTATGGGTGTCACCTGTTAATAGACTACTACTTGTATGATGGAGTAGCTTTTTTCAGCTTCATGCCTGTAATTTTGCATCAGAAAAAAATCTCAGCAAGTTTCCTCTCTCTTGGCATAGCTGGGGTTAAAAAAAAAATAAAATCCTTTTACTGTTCATTTTACTGTACCAGCTAAGAAGTTATTTTTTCCCAGGATAATTCACCATTCCCAGGTGAAAAGTAACTACGTCCTCCAGAATGCTGAATAGACAAACACTGCCAGGCATCCATCTTCTTCCACTGTGCCCACTAAAAGAGTGAGGCATAAAGTAACGCATTGAGGTGAAGTAAGGTAAGGAATTGTATTGGAATCTTACAAACCGCTCACTTTATTTAGTTCCAACTGGAAATGGTGAGAAGTTAAACTTACCAAGATGCCTTATGTGCCACATAGGATTAATAGTGGAATACTTTCCGTGAAACACAATCAGCATTGGAGAGGTTGCCACACCTCCTGCAAGGGTGCTACTGTACAGGTTTTCCCTGCAAAAGGGAAAAAAAAAAAAGGGAAATGCCGACAATGCTCAAAACCTCAATCAAAGAATCTTTAGTACAAAAGTCAGAAGGTTAAAAATAAGTATTTGGACAAAATTCAAACTCATTTTGAATAGACCAGTTTTCAGCATACTCCTTCCTAATGCTGTTAATTTCTTGTATTTGCAACTCCAGTTTCTGTTGAGTAAATCGTTGGTACCCAGCAAAATGGGAGTCAGACCCAACATGAAACCAATTACTTCTACACACCACCTACAGTCTACAAGGCTGACAAAGTTTACAGTAGAAAACTGTTAACATAAAGAAATCAAACATATTTTAGCCTTGTTTCTTAAGAAAATGTACATGTTTCCGTGTGTTTCATTCCCTCTCTCCTTCTTCCCCCCCCAGCTTTTAAACCCATAAATTAACTTCAAATCAGATTTGTCAAAGTCTAGTTGGTATGAACTAACATCTAAAGGATATAAATTTCCAATGATTTTTGTGATAAATCCAGGGCTAGATAAAGCCAGATTACCATAAGGAGAGGCATTAGGAGGTAGCAGCTGGATGCCTGGACAGCCAGTCAGTACATAAGCAAAGCCATCCCACCTACGGGACACTGTGCCACTCGCCAATCCAACAAGGAGGAAACCTGGGAAGTATCGAGCAATGCTTAGAGGCTCCGGAACAAGAAAAAAAACATAACCTCCCTCAAAACTGGGTTTCAACTGCTAAACCATTTATTTCACTGTCATTTCAAAACCCAGCTAAAAGGAACATGAATGTGTTATTGAGGTATAAAATCAACTTTAGAGACAAAATTTGCAGGAATCATAGAATGGCACAGGCTGGGAGGGACCTTAGAGATCATCTGATCCAACCTCCCTGTCATGGGCAGGGACGCCTCTCAACTAGATCAGGCTACTAGGAAGATTCATAGAGTTTTTTTCAAACTTTTAAAAAGCAGAGCAGTAGCTTGTCAGGATATGTTACATAAGCAGAGTACGAAAAGGCACCATTTGGCTTTTCATTAGTTCAGGTGTGCATCATTTATGCCTCTCTCCTCTGTTAATTTGTGAAACTACCAAGTTATACACATGGTCCAATAGCACAAGCTATTCAGTTTTGATTTAGCCTCACTAAATTTAAATTTAACCCTTTGCAGAGAAAGAAAGTAAATGTCAAGTTTGCAAAGAGAGGTTAACAGTGAAGTAACATAAAAAAAAAAACTAGTGATTGTTTCACTGCGTCATGACTTATGATCAATGCCAAGATGATCTCTTTCATGTCAAATTTCGTTCATCTCTAGAAAAAGAAGTGTTTTCTGTTGGTATTTAAGAAATATAGTGTCCAGTTACAGCTTGGCTGACGTTACGACAGGAGAGACCCCACACAAACAAGGAAACATTCCTCCTTCTTCACACTAGCCTCAGGAAGGGAAGATGATAAGTGGCTTGATCCCAGCTGAGGTTGGTCACCCAAAACAAGAACCCCATGTTCTCAGTGTCTCTCAGGATTAAGTGTGCTTTGTCATCAAACACAAGACTAAAATTCCAGGTGGCCTTTTCCTGGTACACAATTGGTCAGATTTAAGCAGACAGAAATTCTGGAACATGAGTTACTCGTTTTATGAGATCTGAAAGAAAGACTGCTTGGAGTTAAAAACTTTTAAGAGCTTTTAAATGGAAAATTAAACTGTAAACTGAGTATTAAAAGTAAAGTGCAAAGCTAGATTTCCACACATACTCTACATTTCTTTGCATCCACTTTTCCAACTGCTTTGTAATCCGCTGATGTTTCCATTCAGTCATGTTAGCGACAATTACTCCAGGATTAAAGGAGCAGGTGCTGGGGCTGATGCCAAGATCTCTAATGGCTTGCTTTCTGTAG